CCAATGTTCAACCAGGTTATACGTGTGTTCCAGTATCAATAATCAATCAATAATCAGTTTAATAATCAATATTAAAGCAATCTATAGCAATTATATCAATAATCAATAGCATATCAATCTAATCTATCAATTTCGGGAAAATCAGAAATCGTACGAAAATCGGGCAGAGTAACAGTAGTCTATCGAATTTACACAAAAATCCTGCAAAAAGACAAATTCTGAATTTCTCCAAATTACAACAGAATAACCACGGCATCAATGCAAGACTATCAATCTATAGAATCCAAATCAAATCAAGTCCTGATAATTTTCTATTCAATTAAAATCGCGTAGAATCAATTCCGACCGATAAAATCATCGTAGAAAATAGTCAAATCGTGTACAATAATCATATCTATAACATACTAAAAGTTGTGCGGTGAAAGATGTGTCAAATCCAAATCACGTCGAAAAGTCGACTACGAAAACACAAAACAGTGCACAACTCGATCAAAATACAAAATCTTCGAAAACAGAAATAGGGTTCGGAGTCCTTACAGCGAGACAAACAAATCTTCTAACAGCGTCATCGGACGAAAAGCGCTCCGTGGCCTCCAAAACCAAGCTTCCTTCTTCTCTTCCTTCTCTTTCTCTCTCTTGCCTTCTCTCTCTCTCCAAAATGAATCCAAAATATCTAAAATCCGATATTTATTAACACTGATCGTCCTGGACGATCCAAATTTCGTCCTGGTACGATGGGTTCTCTGGACAAATTTCGTACAGACGAAATCCAAATTCGTCCCGGGCGACTTGCTCTCTGGACAGATTTCGTACAGACGGATCGTCCCGACTGCTCCAGGTTCGTACAGACGAAAATGGCAGATTTCTTCACAAATTTCTTCAGTTCGTCCAGTACTAAATCCAGTTCGTACAGACGAACTGCACTAAAAAAAATCAGCTTTTTGAAGGGTTTTACAGGTGCTCGACATGACCAACAATAGCTCAATGCATTGGTACAAGAACAACCTATGTTTAACGTGAAAAAAAAAAAGTCACCAGATCTGAATGTGATATCACCGAAGCTCATCACCTCAACCGCAGCAGCAGCAGCAGCAGCAGAAGGGAAGGCAACCGCTATCACGTGACATGCTCGCAACAGTAGCAGCTATCGCCAGCCAAACTCACCCAGCAACTCTCCTTTGTTGGGTTTCCTAGCAGTAGCCGGTCTCTCCGCTCTCTACAGATTTGTCGTCTAATTCGCAAACAAGGGTAAATCTGACTAACCTCGTGGAAATCTGCAGAAAAGACTGCAAGTTAGCAACAGATTATATGATCCCTAAATTCTCCTGCTTATCCATTGCCTATTTGTTGTTCTTTCCGGTCCTCTTTGCCCGTCAGATTATGAGCATTTTTATTTTTCATCCCTAAATTGAATACATTTAGGAAATCTTTTAACATTTGTTTTTCATCACTAAATTCTCCTGTTATTTTATTTTAAACATTTGTTTTTCATCCCTATTTGTAAAAGAGGTTAGTTGGAATCTTGGTTCAGTCAATTGAATTTTCTGATTAACAGACTATTCTAACTTCAAACAAACACTACTGTGAAACAGTCATTTTGTGTGGTCTAAACATTTGTAGCTTTCAAGGATGAAATCTATGATAGCATACATTTAGAAGAACTCCTTCAACGAATGTTAACATATAAAACTTCAACTTGGTGTTATTGGTATTAAATTGGAGATACTTTTTGTCAAGGCATGAAAACAAATTGTTAATAGATTTTAAGATAACCTTATCTTAACAAATTGTTAATAGATTTTAAGACAGCCTTATCTTATATTTAGTAATTTATCTTTTAAAAAAACATTTTAAAACTGTCAATGCTGATCCTAAGCCCGAATGAAAAAAGTTGAAGGAATTTTTTTTAAAGATAAATAAGCCCCCCTCTAGGAAATGTTTCTAGCTCCACCCCCTCCCCCCACTGATCACCATTATACCCCTTTAGTGTACACAATGCATTGGTGCCCTGACACGTTTGTTGGTTTGATATGGTTCTATGAGAGTACCTTCACATGTACATCGAGTTATGACTTAAGCAAGAAACAGGATCTACTTAATGTTACATGATCAACCAGGTTGATGTTTGAGTATTCACAATGCAAAGGTATGTTTTCCATTTGTCCTTTTAAGGGATTTCAAAGAGATTGCACTGAGGTGGTGTTCACTCGAATGAGTTCCATTTCGTTAGATATAGTGGCGCCCTAGTTAAATCAGGGTTGATCAAAAGTCAACCATATTGTCTAAAGATTACTGATATGTTATTTTTTTTTTCAAATTTTTTTCTATTTTCAATTAACTTTCCTTTGCGGTTTCTTTAACAAAAAACTTCGGTTCCAATGCATTAGCAAGATTATTCGTATCCAAGCAGATCTACCACTGCAGGAGTGATTTTTAAAATTTTATGCACCTTAATCACCCTTTTAGGTGTAAAATGCCTTGAGAACATTTCAAAGTAAATATGGTGTTAGCTGCATTGGCAACCTACCCAAATTGGGATTGATCGAATTTTTTTATAGTTTTGTAAATTTTTAATATTTTTAATAAAATTTTCTCTAGTGCTTCTTTAATATCTAGATGGAATACAAGCGCATGCAGAAAGATTATTAGTGTCTTCAATGCATTTGCAAGATTAGGTCCAAGCATACCAACCAATGTATGAGTGATTTTAAATTTTAACGCTCCTTAATCTTTGCCGTGTACAATGCCTTAGCACATTTCAAAGCAAATATGCAGTTGGATACATTCGCGCCTTAGTAAAATTAGAATTGATAAAAAAAATTAAAATTTTGTGAATTTGTTATATTTTCAATGAATTTTCCTCTGGCGTTCCTTTAATAATTTTTAAACATAAAAAATTGATGAAATGAAATTTAAATTTCCCATCAACCATGACAATAATGCAATTTCCCATGATTTACAAGAATTTCCGAGCATTCTCAAAATTTTGATAGGTCTAGGGAACGTATCCAGAAGGTTTACACTTGCAATTTTTTAAAATACCCAAAGGATATTTTTGCAATTTATAAATTATTTATTCGTGTCGATCTCGCTCTACAGGAAAATAACACATTGTGGCATTTGGAAAGAACATGCAACGTTAGGGTTCAACCAAATAGAGCTAGCGTTGACTTGATCAATAAGAGACATGTGGCAACTGACAATAGGCCCCATGTCTGGCACATGCCATAGCTGGGTCATCCAAAAATCTCGAAAAAGTTCGCATGGCAGTAGGAAAAAGATGTTCGTTGGCATACTTTGATTTATCGACATGGCCAATTAAACTGAGGAATTAGTGAAATTCAATGAGGTGGGCATTGGTTAGTTAACATGTCATCCACATTGATAACATGCGGAAAAGTTCCCACAAATTGGAGCCTTTAGGAAGGTTGAAATGATCAATGTGTTAGGGCTACAATGTTGATGTTAATCATTTTAGATGCTAGGCACATCCGATCCTAAATGCCATGTAAACAATGAACTCATTATTTAATAGGAAATAAAATAGCAATGTCATGTTTAATCTTTTTTTTTTTATTAATCCTTTTTAATTTTTCTGTTAGAACTTTAGTCCAAATCCTACTAAATATGACAGACATAAAATTATGATTGGCCAGATGACTTCATAAATGTGTTAGGGCTACAATATTGATGCTACTCATTTTAGATTCAATGCACGTCTGACGCTTAATGACCAGTGGATTGTGACCTCATTGCTTAACTAGGAATTGAAATAAATAATAATACGTCATGTGGATAACATGTCCCATTATATTGTTAATCCTTTTTTATATTATTTTTTATTAGAACTTTGGCAATGCTACTAACATGGGAGACAATATATTACGAATGGCAAGGGGAGACTTCATTGCTTATTATTTAATCTTCTTCTTATGAATATGTATCTAATACTAAGATAGTTATATACAATCTTGTTCAAAAAGCTAGACTACATGTTGGAATTGTGTCCAAGATTGATGATGAATTATAGAGATACCTAATGCAACAACATACCAAACTTGATTCTGATTATTCTTGGATTACATTGCAAGCATCACAATATTTGTATTATGATCAACTTGATGAATATTAAACTCTAAATTCAGCAAAGGAAGATATTTTCAAGTAAAGAAAATTTGATGGAAATTTGAAGATTCTCGAGCTGGCTACTATATCAACTTGCAATAGATAATTGTGCGCCTCTTATAGTAATTTACAATTCTCATTGATTGGCTCCAATATCGACTAGCTAGTAGTGTGGTCCACTGGTCCCTATATGTGCATGTTGCAGATTCATGTAGCAAGTCATGTGGCAAGCAAGCGTCAATTTCCATGGATTATATTATCCTATTCCTTTACACTTGTTATCTCACATAAGACTATTCTCACGAGATTTCAAAGTCGGGCAGTTATTTTAACAATTTTAAGTAATGTTCTTTGTTCTACCATACCTAAATTCTCGCCTTCTATTTCAACATTTTTACTTGCTTCATATGTGTTCCATCTATTATAAAGAAGTTAGGATAAAATTTCTATCATAAAGAAGTTAACAAAAAAATTTATCAATATACGTGCAATTCAAATCAACTGATTATCATAAGCAACCAATTTTAGCAACCCATAAAATGCCTGCCATATAATGGAACTATACCTTCTTTGCTAAAGTATGTTACAATTCTATATTATGCAACAACATCATAAATCTTATGTTTCAATATCAAGCATAAAAAAAACATTTTATCCAAAACATGCCATAAAATCTTCACTGCATTGAAACACTAAAACCTACTTCCTTTGAGCATGGCTTTTTATTGGGTATTAAATAAACCAATAGTTTTAGGCAGCCGGAAGTTTTTTTATGCCTTTTAGGGAATAATAATCAGTACAAACAACCACGCTCTTTAAGTAAAGATAAAATTTTAATTATTAATCTACTTCTTTGAACACTATAACTTTGAAAATTCCCAAAAGAAGTATTAATGAAAACATCCAAGGAACAAGATTACAATGATATTACTTACTTGTTTTGAAAGAGATAAGCTTGTGTACCCCAATCTCTGATACTCCACCTTAAACTGGAAGACGCCATAAACATCTGGAACCTTGAATGATGTAAAATAAAGTCCCTGCAGAAAGGTACATTATTAACTCCAACGGTCCAACCTAGACAAACGAAGCATTTTACAGCAAAACGAAGCATTTTCCAGCACAATCCCTCCATCTTGTACAAGTGAGTGTCCACAAACAAAAGAAACAAGAATAAAGAAAAGATCAACTTGAGATTGTACCTTTAGGTCAGTGGACAAAGATTTCAATACATAAGGGCTCATCATATAGAATTGAACCTGAACATCATCTGACACATATGGTTTCCAGGAAGATCCAGACCATTCATAGATTTCAATAGAATATTCCTACAGTCATAAAACAATATAACTTTTAAGCCAACCTTAGCCCTTGCTTGGAATTTAAAAATTAGAACGTACACTTCTCCAAATAATTGATTATTAGTTACCAGATCATCATTGATACGGTACATTGCAGGCTCAGCCAACTCTGCTACCCGGTGATGAGTCACATTTACAGCCTGTACGAAACAAAAATGCATATCCTCAATTACAAAAGATGACATACCAGAATAATGTCCACAAATGTGGCAGCCTTAGCTTAAAAAGTAGATAGTGAAATACAACAAACGTATGATAAAAAATAAGAAAGTACCAACCATATGAGTAGAAAAATAAAAACAGATTCACCTTTAGATGGCCCCTCTCATGAAAGACCCATTTGCTGATTTCTGTCACGAATTGCTCATTGCCAGACTTCTCATGCCTAGAACATCAAATTTATTTATAGTCTAGAATATGGCAATTGCTTTACAAACATTAAAAAAAAGGTAACCTTGTAGTACAAAACATTTAAGTTTGATCTGCTTCTATAGGCTTAACGTAAAATTACCAAACCGTATGCAAGACTCACATGGATTTAATATTCATCAGCATAGGAGTTGTTATTCTCACAGCAGAAGCTATGTGCAGCAATAGAATATAAAGTAATGTATCAAAAAAATATGAGTCTCCGTTATTTAGTTTGCATCCACATCATTATTAAACCATTCATACACTGTATTGGTATCAGTGATAACAATTGTGTGTAATGAAAGAATATGAGAGCTTTAAAAGATAAAATTTTTAATACTACAACTAGGTTGGCAATATTATATGGATCCAAATATTTGTTGTAAAAAAATCATTGACATCTAAGATGAGTATGATGGGGGGAAAAAAAAAAGTTAAGATGGATACAAAACAGAACTAGGAAGGATAAATCAACCAATGATTACATCAGAGGAAATATAGAGGAACATCGTTAAAAATAAGGTAACTAAAAAATAAAAATATATTTAGATGGTTTGGACATGTAAAATGAAGGATAAAAAATGTTCCTATTAGACAAATTGATAAAATTAATATCAGAGGATTTAGAAGGAAAAAGAGTGGACCTAAGATTAAATGGGCATAAATCATTTTGCAAAAAAATAAGTTTAATACCTTAAACATCACTTAATAGGATTAATGGAAAATGAGTATTCAACATTCATTTTGCCTCAGGCTTTGCCTCAGCATCTTGGCTATCATGAAATTCAACATTCATCCACAACTTCTCTAGCTTAAGAGAAGGTGATTTTCACTTGGCATTCATTCGGTCAATTAAAGTTAAAAAAAGTGTTTTTGAAGAATGATGATTTTACTAGACTCTCTTCAGTTTGATGAAAATAATTAAAAATCAATATGGATATTATATTTTATGGGCACCATCAAAATCGCTTAAAATTTATTATTTCATTTTTTCATATTCAAAACAAAAATCAATAGCATTTAAAACAAGTTTTTAAATTATAAGAAACCTAATGAGCCCATAAATGCACGTCTAGCAAAAATAGCATGATTCACTTATCTCATTTTCAACTTAGACATAGAATAATATAAAGCCTGAATAATGGGATTTTGCACAAGTAAATTCATCAATTAAAAAAATATAAGAAAATGCATATCAAGATGAGAATAACAATTGTTAAACCATCAAGCATTATTGACGTAAAATGACCAAGGATAAAAGTTTTCTAATACAACTAGTATGATGCGTAGTATAATTTTATATAAAAGAAAATTAAGGATTCGTAGATCACAAACTGTCAATTAACTCAATGAGTTGTTTTCTTTAGTACAAGAGTGTAAAACCAATTGATAATGAACAGATTGAAACAATCCCAAAATTTTAGTAAGAAATTGGAATCATACAATATCAATGACTAAATTGAATTATTTTTTTTACAAATTAGATTTCCTGTTCCACTTTTTGATTGAAATCAAGAGCATTAAATACGTAAATATCAATTATTGTCAGAGAAACAGATCAAAGAACAAAAAATACTAAAGAAAGAAAAAACAATCAAGTATCACGTTGGTACAAAGAAATAACGTGAATTAGGCAGTTACGCGTGTACCACACTCATAAAAATCACACAAAAAATTAAAAGTTATGTATTATATTCCTCAAATCAATTTTATATTTATATATAAACATTTTATAAACATAAGTGGTGCAACCAAAAACCAAAGATTGCAGACTACCAAGATTTCCTTTCACTATAACTTAAATATACACAAAACAACTTCCAATAAAAGACAACTTCAAATGCAAAAACACAACACTACTATCAACTTGTAAACAATACAACCAACTTACTATTAATAAAGCTTAGAGAAAAAGGATACAAATGAAATGGAAACCTTGGATAGAAGAAAGAGATAGAAGATCTTGATGAATTAGAAGATGAAGGGAGGTAGAAGACAATAGCTCTCAAGCTATTACAAACCCACATGTATCGTGCTCAAAAAAACATCACTAATCCATCCTTATAAAACTGCAGCAAACAACCCCTTTTATAGGGAAAAAAAAAGAACCCAATAGCCTCTTAAATTTGCCGCCCCCCAAGCAACCAATAAGAGCCAACATATTATAGGAAATATTAAAGGGAGGGGAACGGACAGCATGCGGAACCAAACAACCAGAAAAAGCAATCAAGGAACCGAAATCTGCCAAGGAAACCAGCTGAAATCCAACAGCCACCAAACTGTGCAAAGGGAGGGGAACGGGCAGTAACGTAGGGGAAAACCGAAGCAACTAACAGCAGGGAAACCGAAGCTTCATGTGACTGCATAAGGGGTCGGCTTGCCTACATCAATTCTCCTCCAGTTGAGAGATCTCATCCCCTGATGAGATAGCTCCAGAATTTTCATGATTCATTGAATGAGCCACATCCAATTCTTGTAGTATAACTGCATACTTTCTTTGGGTCATATCTTTTTCTTGATTAAATTGAGTCATGAAGAAGACGCTTTCTATTCTCATATTTTTCCGCACACAAATTCATTCTCCTGAATTTTGTATAGTTTGATCGGTAAAACTTCCTTGGAGGGGAATCCATCTATTTGTTAAAATTTTCTCTTCAAGATTAGTTGGCTGATTTTCACCAACTACAGATTCTATTTCATCTTGAGACTTACTTGAAACTTCGGCTTTTGGACTATCCATTTTTTTGTTTTTGATTTTTTTAAAAAAGAAAGAAAAACTAACACAACCTAAGTGCTCTGATATCAAATTGGTGCAACCAAAAAACAAAGATTGCAGAATACCAAGATCTCCTTTCACTATAACTTAAACATACACAAAACAACTTCAAATAAAAGAAAACTTCAAATACAAAAACACAACACTACTTTTAACTTATAAACAACACAAACAACTTACTTTTAATAAAGCTTAGAGAATAAGGATACAAATGGAATGGAAACCGTGGATAGAAGAAAGAGATATAAGACCGAGACAAATTAGAAGAAGAAGGGAGGTAGAAGACACTAGCTTGCAAGCTATTACAAACCCGCATGTATTCTGCTCCAAAAAATCATCTATAATCCATTTTTCTAAAACTGCAGCAAACAGTCCCTTTTATAGGGAAAAAAAGAACCAAACAACCTCTTAAATTTGCCGCCCCCAAGCAACCAATAAGAGCCAAAATATCATAGGAAATAGAAAAGAGAGGGAAACAGACAGCATGGGGAACCAAACAGCCATAAAAAGCAATTAGGGAATCGAAATCTGCCTAAGAAACCAACGAAAATCCAACAGCTACCAAACCGTCCAAAGGGAGGGGAACGGACAGCAACATAGGGGAAAACCGAAGCAACACACAACATGGAAACCGAAGCTTCATGTGGCTGCATGGGGGAACGGCTTGCCAACATCAATAAGCTAATAGATAAGGTTAGCATAAGATCAATCTAAATTGCAATTTGAATCTGAAACAACTATTTATAGATTCCACATCCAACTGGATAGAAGTTTATGGTTGCATCATGTCAACTATATGCAGAACATTAATTGGATGAATAAAAAGATATAATAATTATACAATTTAAGAGAAATATGAACATTAAGTTTCAAGAAAACAACAATATAACTATCATGAGAATCATTATTACATTCCTACATTCAATAACATATCATCATAGAATTTATAGAGCGGAACAATGATTTAAAAAGTTTCTTTTTAAAATACAAACCGAATAATTTTAAAGAGCTTAATGCAGAAAATTAGAACTAGTGGGACATGCATGCTCAATCATTTTCGTGAGGCCTTGCTACTAAGTCCCCGATGATGAATATAAAATATAGACTTGTGGAGAAATACTTTCCATTTGGTGATTATAGGGATTAAATACATGATCAATTTATAGATTATAAATAGAATAAATATAATGTGTATGAGAAATATGCAAGATTAGAAAGTCTTATAACAAAATATTATCTATCATTAGATTATTTTGTTACTACCAATTATTTTAGAAGAATGAGTGTGTTGATTCCTATTTTTAAGAATAAAGATGATGCACAAGATTGAGCGAATTATAGAGGAATTAAGTTAATGTGCCATAGTTTAAAACTATGGGAGGGAGTTATGGAGTATAGGTTGCAGTGTGATACTAATATTTCTCAAAATCAATTTGGATTTTGATAGGAAGTGAATACAATTTTCTCAAAATCAATGAACAACAATAAGAAATTAGGAAGAAGAACACACCTAAACTATTTTTATTACAAGATATATGAAAGAAAATAGCAAAATAAAGTTGGATCTTCAATTGGAGAGGAAGATCTAGCTCTCCCAAATCCCTACCCGCCAGCTAGAGCCCAAATAACCTAAGAATAAATTAAATTCATCAAACTCCAAAACATCCTCCTGATCATCTTATTGATAGCCTTAAATAGGCTCCCATAATTTCCTCCCAAATTAGCCCCTTTTCCCTAAATAATTTCCTCTCATATTTGAATTCAAATTAGATTTATTTTCTTAATTAATTTCCTCTCAATTGTAATTAAAATTTTCCGAAACAGTCTCCCATTATTCTTCATCATTTTTCCTAAATAATTCCCTCTTAGATTTTGAATTCAAATTAGATCTCTTTCTTAAATAATTCCCTTCCAATTGCAATTTAAACATTCCTAAATATTTTCCCTTTGATTAATAACCTTACTAAATATCTCTCTCTTAACTAGGAAACTTCTTAATTTCCTCTCAATCAAATTAGTCAATCCATCAATACTCCCCAATCAAAGTGCCACCTTGTCCTCAAGGTGGAACGAAGAAAACTGCTGATAAAGCAATTGACTATACACTGGACTGAAAAATGGACTAACATTATGTCGAATGATCCATTCCTCTAACATCTCTCAAATCAATCTCTCAATCTCATTCTTCTGGACTTAGGAATGACGGTATAGACAAACACTAGCAGGTGAGACTCCTTCCTTCAAGATGATCGCATGCTCTCATATTCCTGCAGAGGAGGCAACCCCTAAACTAGCTGGAATACCTCTTGATTCTGCTGTAGAAGTGGCTGAACCATTTCTAGTGCTTCTATCTTCCCCAAATCTTCTTCCCTTTCCAAACTTTTCAGCTCCCCCAAAAATCTTACTCCTTTACCATTTCCCCTCCTTGGAAGTGGCTACAAAAATGGCATCTCCTTTTCTTCCCTCAAAACTTCTACCTCCTGATCCTCCATTATCGTCCCTATATTAGGGTTTCCCCCACTTCTCAGTCCAATCAACGGTGCTCTCGCTTCTGATGTTGTCAGTTGGGTGTGAAGCTCCAATAATTTCCTTATCATTCCTTCTAGGTTGAAAAACTTTCCCTCCATTGATATCATTCTATCCTCAAATGCTGATTTTAGTTAGTCAACTTTTCCTTTATTATGCTCTTCCAAGACATCAACTTCCTTTGCCGCCATAGGTCCCAAAAAAGTACTCTTATACCAATTTGATAGGAAGTTGATATAATTTCCTCAAAATCAGCAAAAAACAATAAGAAATTAGGAAGAAGAATACACTTAAATTGTTTTTATTACAAGATATATGAAATAAAATAGCAAGATATATTTGGATCTTCAATTGGAGAGGATGATCTGGCTCTCACAAATTCCTAGCCGTCAGCTATAGCCCAAATACCTAAGAATAAATTAAATTCAACAAACTCCAAAACATCCTCATGAAATCACCCTATTGTTAGCCTTAAATAGGCTCCTATAATTACCTGCCAAATTAGCTCTCTTTTCCTAAATAATTCCCTCTTAGATTTGAATTTAAATTAGATTTATTTTCCTAATTAATTCGCTCTCAATTGTGATTAAAACTTTGCTAAACAATCCATTTGTAATTCCTCCTTTTCCTTAAATAATTCCTTCTTAGAGTTTGAATTCAAATTAAATCTCTTGCTTAAATAATTCCCTACCAATTATAATTTAAACATTCCTAAATAATTCCTCTTTGATTAATAACCTTTCAAAATAGTTCCCTCTTGATTAAGAAACTTCTTAATTTCCTCCCAATCAAATCGGTCAGTCCATCAATACTCCCCTCCCGAAGTGTCACATTTTCCTCAAAGTGGAACGAAGAAAATTGCTACTGAAGCACTTGACTAATAGCATTGGACTGAAAAAATGATTGACATTAGGTCGAATGATCCCTTTCTCCAGCATCTCCCTAATCAATCTCTCGATCTCATCCTTCAGTATTTGGGGATGATGATACAAACGAACACTGATAGGTGAGGCTCCTTCAAGATTATAGCATGCTTGCATTCCTGTGGAGAAGGCAACCCCTAAACTGGTTGGAACACCTCTCGATATTGTCGGAGTGGTTGAACCATGTCTGATGCTTCTATATTCTCCCCATCTTGTCCTTCCAAACTTTTCAGCTCCATCAAAAATCGCACTCATTCACCCTTTCCCCTCATTGGAAGTGGCTCCAAATATGGCCTCTCATCTTCTTCCCCCAAAACTTCTACCTTCCGATCCTCCCTCATCATCAATGTATTAGGGTTTCCCCCACTTCCTAGTCCAATTAACAGTGCTTTCGCCTCCGATGTTGACTGTTGGGTGTGAAGCTACAATAGTTTCCTTATTATTCCTTCTAGGTTGAAAAAATTTTCCACCATTGATGTCATTTATCCTCAAACATTGATTTGAATTGACCAACTTTTCCTTTAAGACGTTCTTCAAAGGCATCAACTTTCTTTACCGCCATAGGTCCCAAAAAAGGAGTAGGACAAGGAGCAGGGGGATCAAGGAAATGTTGATTAAATGGAATAGCCTACCCAATTATGATGATACCTGGGAGCCATATGAGAGAGTGAAACATCAATTCTCATCTTTTCACCTTGAGGATAAGGTGGATCTTTGGAAGAAAAATTCAAAGTAAATGGTTGTTTATGGATCATATGATTGTGTTTTGCTTTAATTAGATTTTTCTCCCTAGAGTTAGGGTTATGTTTTGTTTTGTTGAATTGGATTCCTCTTAGTTTTGCTTGGGCTCTAACCGCTAGCTAGGGATTGGGAGAGCCGAATCTTACTCGTGAATTGAATATCCATTGTATCTTGTTTGTTTGTTTTTTCCATCTTTCATCAATTATCAAGTTTTCTAATGTTTTGCCACCAAATTTCTCGCAATTTCTGCTTCATCTTACTAAAATTCCAAATTTCAGCCAAGTTTCTTCAATTTCTGCAAGTCTTTCCTAACATTGTTCATGTATGGTCATGTTGATGCTAACTTGTTTTTTTTGTTCTTGATTTCCAAACTAATACATGGAAAGCTATAGAGAAAGTCAAGTTGCATCAAAATTTCAATCAATTTGATAAAAAAAAATGCTTTGAAAATGACCAGAAATTTGAAACTTCATCCAATAGGATCAATCTTAAAGGTACATAATGCATCACAACATATTTTTGAACTTCACTTTAAAGAGATTATCTATTTATACATGCATATCATAATTAGATTATTAGCTTGATCACAATTGCATTAGCTTTATATTTTCAATGATTTAGTTGTAGATTATTATTAGTTAGTGTATATTTTCTACTATTTAATTCTAGGTCATTATTAAGATTCTTATGATGCATATCTGACTTTTAGTATTTTTTTACTCGTCTCATATTATTTGTTAATCATTTGCATATCATATGCATGATTTGCATGAAAATGTTCACAAAAATTTAGCTATTAACTATGACAATTACAAGTGTGAAATTTAATTCTGATAATAAAGTCATGGCTTGTCTAAATCCAAAAAGATCTCTATATAAAAACTTTAAGCAATTGGATACAAGGAAGGCCAGAACCTTCAAAATTGCACAACATAAATTGAATTTTATGGCTATAAATTGAAAATTCAGAAAAATTTTGTTATCCTTCAAGTTTTTAATCTGTTTGATTTAACCTTATTTCATGAGTCTACCAATAATTATTTGGATTATGCTATCTTTCCGCCTCCTATTGAGTCCATATACAATACTTAGTCGAATACTTCCATGCAACGTTTCCTGAGATGATGAGATTATATCCATTGTTGCTGATGGATTTCTAAGAAAACTTATTTTGGCATACTTGATTATGATAATTCATGAATTACTCAATAGGAAGCACATAATTTATGTCTTTGGTTGATAAGTATCAAATGCTAAATTTCTAGGAGCCGAATTTGTCTAGATCGAGCAAATTTGCTGAAAATCTCCACTGAAAGCTTTACATCAAACATTAATTTCAGTGAAATTTATTTAGTTTAATTTTATTTATTCGTTCATTGTTATTTTATATTTAAGAGCATGCAGTGGTGATGGCTAAGAAACGTTATATTTTATTTTCTAGTTTTAGGTTAATTCATAGGGCTGGCATTATTTCAATATATCGTACACTGATCTGTCATGTAAGTACAAAATTACAATCCTAGATTCTTGGCTATGCCTAATTCCACTGCATATGTTCCTTAAAAAATGTCGTGATAGCATACACCACAATGTAATACAAAGGGAGAAAACAAATAAGATTTGCTTAACACAAAAAAGGCAAAGCCGCCTAGAAAAATGGGTGTATGAAAAAGATGCATGTAAAAACTAGCTGCCATCAGCAATTTGGATAAAAAAAATTAAGGTATAAGTGTATAACACATCAAAAGTACTTTTGACCGACTTGTTTAAGCTTCCAGCCTTCAGTACTCCAGATCTCAGAAATCTGCGCAGATAATATGGAAAACGTAAGGGAGAAATTAGCGAATAATTTCTATAAATAAATAAGCAAATACCTGTTACTAAAAAGATCCAACGATCCAGAGATCAACATGCGAGCATTATTTCTAGCCTGCATTTATATTAGCTCTTTTTAAGACCACAAAGCTACAGCATGCATTAGCATAGCCCATCAAATAAAAATTTTAAATACTGGCAATTTGAAATGCCACTACGCCAACAGGAAAATGGTTGGATAGTATAGGAGCTCTAGCCTTTCAAATAGGTGCCGGAAGTTAGAATATCGTTAAAAAAAATGGTTAAAACAATATATGAACATGAAATTACAAAGACAAATGAAAGCTCGTCAAATAAAATCTTGAAAGTTGCAAAATAAATAAAAAATGTGATTAGCAAGTTGGGGTATGTTTGGCTATATTTTTGTTTTTTATTTCAAAAACAACTACTTATGTTAGAAAACGTGTTTGCTTTGTTATTTTTATTTATTTTTGGAAACAAATTAATATGTTTCCAGGTATTTTGAAAACACTATCAGAGATGTTTTCACTTGTTCCAAAACATCAATTATGATAGTTTCTATTTTAAGTGAACCAGAAAAAATAAATAAACAAATATAAAAATAAAACACAACTAAGCATATCCTTGAGTACAACAAAAAAAGAAACACTTGCTGAACTACAACCTACTTTTTGTTTGAAAAATGTTTGTAAGGTACAACAAGGTTTGCATCCAGATCAAAAATCTCAAGCAGCTGCTAAATCTAGAGATGAAAGTTTAAAGTTTAGGTTCTTGAGAGTTCTCAAATATGTTTTGAAAAATCATAATGAAGAACAAAACACCATCAGTTACTCCAGCATCTGAATTTAATGCAACTTTTAATATTATAATAATAAAGTCAATTTTCCAAATGCTTCATGGTCCAAATTATAAGCAGATCGCAACTTGCTGAGAAAGAGGAACAAAACACGACATAAAAAACAAAAATAATGAAAATATCGAGTAATCAAGAAAATCGAAAAGCAAAAGACGGGAAGCGTAACCACAATTATTGATCACAAAAGAGTTTAGAACCTGCACAACGGAAACCAATGCAATTGTGGAGCCTGTGATGGAAGGAGTTGACAACTTAGTTTTTGGGCTTGCTGAATAAGCTGAAGGAGAAGCAGACAATACTTTCAAGACCTGATTCAAAAAATTTAAAATATGATTTCAAATAAATAAAAGGAAGGACAAATATGATGAATTGTATGAAAAGAAACAACTTTACCAAAGTACTAGCAGGATTTACAGAATGGCCAATTCCACGGAACAGTACAGGAGCCTGTTCAAATGTTTGATACTGTCAGTACAATAACTAATGAAGTAAAATGAAGTTATATTTTCGTATTTCCCGAAAAAAAAAAGTTATATTTTCTTGGAAAATGAACTTTTATGTTGAACAAATTCCTAGACAATGTCCTTAGCATTTATTTATACAGACCAATAAAAAAACATATATTGAAAATGGGAAAAAGAACAAGGGGAATAAAAAAACATAAACAGGTCTGCAAGTACCTATAAGAACATGTTACTGGCGATAAAAATTTTTCAATAGCATGATGTACACTTGAAAGGCAAAAAATTGCCAAAGAGGTAAATGTTCATTGCTTGTGGTGTTTGGAACATAATGCGAAGAAAGCATCGCAATAATATGTTCAGTCCAAGTTCCAAGGAGAAATAAAAGTCAAAAAACAAACTAGACCTAACACAGAATTTACCAGTCAGCCCTAAACAAAAAAATTTAATTAATCAATATTCTTATGATTAATTAGGGGTGTCAATTTTGGGTCACAGGTCGGGTTCGGGTCGAACCCGAAATTGGGGTGTCAATTTTGGGTCACAGGTCGGGTTCGGGTCGAACCCGAAATTGACCCGGCACTATTCGGGTCAACCCGAACCCGACCCGTTTTTAAAAATGGGTCAGTTTTCCTGACCCGAACCCGACCCGCTCCAGGTCCGGGTCAACCCGACACGACCCGAATGACCCGTTTCCAACAAAAAATGGCTAATTTTCGGGTAAAAAATGGGTCAATCTCCTCTTTTCGGGTCAAAATCGGGTCACTTTCGGGTCAAAGGGTTAACCCGAACCCGACCCGATTTTTGAAACGGGTCGAAATGCTGAACCTGAACCCGACCCGTTTCGAGTTCGGGTTGACCCTAAACCGAAATTTTCGGGTCGGGTTTTCGGGTCGTGTCAAATATTGACACCCCTATGATTAATGCAGTAAAAATATCGAATCCTTAATGGAGGTAGAGTAAACAGAAATAAACTGTTTTTGAAAAGGAAACCTTTTGCAAGCAACTGCCCTTTCAACTTGCACAAACAAGAAGCGAGAAGAAGGGGAGATGGAAAAATGCAAGATGAAGTTTATTCCTGGGCTCAATCTAGAGCATTCAAGCACCTGAGATGATCAGGAAGGTATAAAATAAATTTCCAAGTTAATAAGCTAGATTAGCCACTCACTATATGTTATACCTCAAATCAACCCTTTTACAACTCATGCACAGCCAACGGATCAGTTTAAGCAAGACTTGAGCCACTGAATTTAAAAACTCGACATGAACACAATATATGTTTTACTACAAAGTCTGAAAATTTACATACCATATTGCTAATTAAGCCTACCAAAAAAGAAAATCTTAACAGTTAAAAACCTCTCAACACTCGAAGAGCCACCAAACCTCCTCAATAAATCCTCATTAGCCTGTCATTATAACTATTTTATCCCTCCAAAAGTACTAATAATTAGTTTGAACAGAAGCGATGCTCAGCAGGAAAATTCAATTTCCACGCAGAAGTTGAGAAAAAACTCCACAACATGACAATGGCCATGATGAAATTGCAATAAAGTGAAATGAACATTAACATTAAAAACGGTAAAATAGCAGAAAAATAATTACTCAATTATTAAGTAATTATGTAGACAACGTCAATTACATAACCCCAACACCATATTTCAGTAGGCATCAACAATATGCATCCATCAAGAGAACTATATAGAGAAAATATTCAAGAGTTTGCATACTACCAACAACTGGAGTTAATCCCTCATGCACTCCTCCAACAGCGTCACTTCCACCAGCCAAAAACAGAAGTGCACAGCCTGATGGCCCAAGTAACCATTATTGGAGACCAAATAAACCTTATATAATTGGTGTCTTGGTGAGTGGGCTTCTAACCCCGAAACATAATCACCAACCAATATCGATTAAAGATACATCAAAACATCTATTCTTTCTCGGCTAAAACTACATACAACAGTTATATAACATGTCAAACAACTACCCTCATCAACCTATAGCCTTCACCCTCAATATCTTTAGCAATCAAACAAGTACAGAAATGAGATGCACAAAGTGCTCAAATTTTGCTAATTTACTCTAGCATTCGGCAAAAAAAAATACAAAAAGATTGCAAATGTATACTCTTTATTCCTCCAAAGATCTATATATGTATGTATGTATGTGTATGTATGTATGTATGTGTATGTACGCCAAAGCAAGATGCATTTACAAGTATTCCCAATGTATGACGGCTCAAACCTGCTCAATTTACAAAAATAGTTAAATGTAGCATAAGCATATAAAAGAAAAATTCACATCCCACTTTTCCTATTTCAAAAAATCTAGATCATGAAATTTCAAAACCCATGACAGGCATCCCACAATTTTTTTCACCTCATGGTACACCGTTGATAGTGTCAGCAATGAGCTTGACCCAATCTTAAAGATTTTTTGTTCGCTTCAGGCCAACACCACTTTTTGAATGCATCCCTCTCTCTATATTCTTCCACTCTCATTTGATTTGTGCTGGGATTCAATCTGTCCATGGTCAGTGCAGGCATGAACAATACAAACAATGCCCAACCAAACCTCCAGCCATGGTCAATGGTTACCAAGCACATCCATTGAGAGGCCCCTTTCTAGCTGCTCATTCCCTCTTTTCTCTCTATTTCATTACAATCAGTAATATAAACCACAATTACATAATAACAAAAAACTCTCTCAATTACTGGAAAAATTCTTAGCTTCCAAGTTTAGGTGAGTTTCCAGTTTAATGTGGTTAGAAAATAGCTTTAGGGGTTCATAGTTCTAACTTTTGAAGTTTTATAAAGCTTTTTCTGGGAAGGCATTGGCTACTTGTTAGTCTGTGCCTTAAAGAGCTATAAAGTTTATAAATATTGGGATATCATTGTTAACCCAAGGTGTTCCAGTCCAACAGATGTAACATAGAAAAACCATGTGATCTGACAACCCAAAAACATATCACAGCATAATCCAAAGAAGTGGTTAACCAAAAAATTTTTAGCTAGCCTAGCTTTTCTAGCCGATCCATTTCATGTGCTTTAGTGAAGTTTAAGGAATAGTATCTATTACAAGAAAACCACAATTTCCAAATATCTTCTAAAAATATCTGAAGTATTTGTATATTTCCAAGAACAACCATGGCAAATTGTATGGTACGTTCTACATCAAAGAGATAGATAAGATAATTAAATGAAAGGGGAAATTTCCAATAAGGATCAAGAAATTCAATCACATGCACTGGCTATATGTTAAAAGAATTATATGGTGACTTGACAAGGTCGCGTTTGAAGCTTTTGTTCGAAAATCAAAGTTTCAATCTAAACATGGGATTAATAAAACATGAATTAGGTCTCCATTGAAAGCTTTCGATTAACCAAGTACCATAATGCTTGACCTGTTAAAATAAACATACTTTCTTTATGGCTCTTGAATCTGAAACCCTAAACGGACTATGAACTCAAAGAAAAATATTAAAACTGAAAAAAAATAAATTAATTAATTAAATAAAAATTAAAAAATACAAAAAATAAAAATAAAAACTGAAGCAATCAATGTTTCAAAGGTACGAAAACTCTGTCTAGAATGTTAACATAATCAAGCTTCTGATCATGA